TTTTGGCTTTGGTTTACATCTCTCAATTTTGGGTATTACTTATAGTTTTGTTTCTATTTCCTCTAAAGATATTTACATGATACAATTGTCAATGCAGGAGTATCTTGGTCCTGAAATCATTTCTCATTTTGTGATGCATGGAACAAATGTAGCAGAGATTGTTAAGCATCTGATCACTGTTCTGAAGAAAAAAGAAGATGACATCCCCACTATCTTTCTAGAAGCTATGAAAAGGGTAGGGCTCAAGTTCTGGGTGGGTGGGGGAATGGGAAGCTGAGGAATTGTGTCTGGTCAAATATGCTGTGTTTTTTGTACTACTTGTTTATCACCTTTTAATCTGCTTCCTTATGATATTCATTTACTTATTATATACATCAAACATAGTGAAGGTTATCCTGTGATTCATAGGAAACAATCAAATGCCTGGGTAGTTAGTTCTTTTTTTGCAGTTTACTACGTTTGCTTTGATGCTTAACTCAGCCTTCCAAATGCTCTATAGTGTTATATATTCTTTATTTTATATTATTATCATTATCAGCTGTTCTTATAAGGATAAAATATTTAAGTTGAAGTTATACCTGATAAGGAAATTTCTCTTGGATTTAATATATTTAAATCCGCTTGTAGATGGACATCTGTCATCAAAATTTCTTAGGAAATAGAAAGCACAATTGTCCTTCATGATTTTCAGTCTTTCAAGTTGGGTATGTGTCTGCGTTTTGAAATCTTTGACATGTAAAACTTTTTCCTCATGTTGAATTTAACTAGGCCTATAATCGGTATGCGGTGGAACTTTCCAGAAGCGTTGATAAATCCTTGACAGACAAGTCTTTCGAAGAATGTAAGGACCTGGCTATTCGACTTTCAGGAATATTTATCGGTTCTGCTCGGAATAAGCATAGATCAGACATCTTAAAAATTGTCAAGGAAGGAATTGAATATGCATTTGAAGATGCTCCAAAACAGCTTCCTTTTCTGGAAAGTGCTGTGCTGCATTTTGTCTCCAAACTTCCTACTCCTGATGTCCTGGACATGTAAGAGTTATTTTCTGATATCGTCATTGATTTCTAAGTTGCACCTTAACTTATTGTTTTATTGATCAATCAGCCTTTTGGCACCATTTAATACTTTTGTACTTTGCATGTAGACTAAAGGATGTCCAAAAACGAACAGAGAATATAAACACAGATGAAGATCCCAGTGGCTGGCGTCCCTATAGCTTGTTTGTTGAAAGCTTGCGTGAAAAATATGTAAAGAACGAAGGCATAATAGGTACCACTGTCTTGTCAATTTCATTAGACTTTTTAACTTCTGTGGATCTGAATGAGAGCCATTATTTCCTTAATTCCCTGGCCCCTTCTTGTGGCTTTTCTAGTACGCATTGTACATTTCACTCTTCTCAAGTTCAAATGCCTCTTTGTGGGAGCAAACCATAGGCTTGACCATCTGGTATTTACCCCCTCATGGGTATCTACATATGGCCAATGGCCATTGTTTTCCACTTTCCAAAGATTGTAGGTTTGGAGAGGGCTCCAGTTTTAAACTTGGGTTTGCAAAGCGAGTTTGGGAGATTTCTAGGTTATCTATGTTATATTAAAATCCCTTTTGTCACTCTCCCTGTTTGTGCCTGTGCATGCATGCCTGTGTGCAAACAAATGTGATATGGTGTGTCTCCTTTTGTGTGTTTTTCTTTTTGCTTCTTTTTGGATGGAAAGTGTTTTCTGTAAAAAAATTCTGTAGTCAGGCTTCTGTGCAAGAATCCAATCATACTTTTGCTGTGACAATTCTTAGTTTTTCCTCTGGATGTTGTGATGAAATCCAAATTTTATTTAGGATTTATTTCATAAAACCATCCCAGAGTTCTGCTTCCTCATGGCCTGTTTTTATCGGAGTTGCTTTCTCATTGCCTGTTTTTCTTGGATTTTTCTTTTTTTCATTTTGTTCTTTTCTTTTTGCCCCCATTTTGTCTGGACCAGAACGCAGAACTTGAGACACTTTTTTACAACGATAACAATTTAAGAACTATCAAGTAAATAGTCCTTTATGTTGGGTGATGATCAAAATTGATAAATTTTTATGTAGCATGGGAGATAGTTATGGGCTCTTGCAACACCACGAAAACCTTAAAAAACTTTCTTGAATGGCAATTTCTGGATTTGATTTGAAGGTGTTTAAAAAAATAGTTTATCTTTTGGTGTTTCATAAGCACCTGGATATTTGGATCATGGCTGGCCAACTTGCCATCTTTTCATTTATTGGTCATGTCATCATTAATGTGTCTGATAGGAACCCACTCCAATAACTCAACAATTTGGGATGGGCCATGGGTCTTTCATGGGCTTGGGTAGAATTCTCCTTGGAAAACCGGCTTGCCAAGGGAGGGTGCCTAAGCTTTTATAATCCACATGCCCACCCTTTTCTCTTTCAATGTGGGATCTTAACATTCCATCACACTTCCGCAACGGACGTCCACGTCGGCCTCCCCCGTCGGCCTCTTTACCCCTTGGGTGACTACGCAGATCCCCTTTTCCTCGGGCCTCCATGCCCTTTCTCGGGGTAGCAGCTCGAGCCCGAGGTCAGTCTGTCACGCGTGCGCTGCCACATAGGCACAAGATCATGCTCTGATACCAATTGATAGGAACTCACTCCAATAATTCAACAATTTGGGATAGGCCATGGGTCTTTCATGGGCTTGGGTAGAACTCTCCTTGGAAAACCAGCTTGCCAAGGGAGGGTGCCCAAGCCTTTATAACCCACATGCCCACCCTTTTCCCTTTCAATGTGGGATCCTAACAGTGTCACTTGTCCTTAAGCCCCGTATTTGAGAACTAATATGTTTACCTTTTTGCAGATGAGAAAGAAGGGGCTACTGTAAAACGCAGGGGACGTCCACGAAAACGGCAAAATATTGAGGGAAAGAGACTCTTTGAGGAACACAGTTCTAGTGAAGAAGAAGATTCAATTAGTGCATCAGACCAGGAAGTTGCTCGAGAAGAAGAGAAGCAAGATGATGACGAAGAAGAAAATGCTCCTTTGATACACTCAATTAGGTCTTCAGCCAAATTAAGGCAATTGAAAATTTCAAGAGAGGAAAAAAGAGTCCAAACAAAGTCTGGAACCTCCAGAAGAGCTACAGATAATTAACCTGCTTCCGGAACATCAGGTATGAACTTCGAGATTCCTGTTTCTTCATTCATTTAAATTAGGAGGGAGTTTTGGGCCACGTTTATCTTTCGATTGTTGGGAGCTCCTGGCTGATTTTTTTTAATCATTTTTTGATGTTCGTCATTTTTGGGCTGCCAGGATTAACTTGAATATATATAGAATCTGGGGAATGCATGTCGTGACTTTGAATTAGGGATTTGCATTCTTTCAGAAATATGACAATCCATTCGACTCTATTTCAGAGTAGAACCATCTGCAAATGTCAGTATGAATTGAGAACTCACTGAAAACTGTCTGCCCCAAATGTTATGGTGTGTTTCTAATATGAGACCCTATTCAGTGCCTCTAGGTGATTGCACTTAACTAGAGTGGACAAGCTTGACATGAGACCTAACAGGGTTCTGTAGGCACTAAATGTGCAGGGTACTCTTAACTACATATGGAGTTATCTAACTATATATCATTGACATGGTACAATTTTGTAGTTGAATATCCAGAGTATATCTTTATCCTGTTAACTTCACCCTTTTTCTTTTGCTAAGACCTGATTCTTGTGATCTTGGTCTGATTTGGGAATTGAAACTGGCCTGTCTTTTACTGGTTCTTTCAGCTGGAAACTTCCATGAATGGATTTTATATTGGGAAATGGGTTGCTTGCTGCAAGATGTTACTCTGTACACAATATATATATATATATTATTCAGATGTAGTTAGTGATACACTAAGCAAAGCCTTAATTAATATGAGAAAGCTTATATCTTTTCAGGGCATTTGACGATTTAATTTTTCACTTTGCAGGGGCATCTAGCTAGTGATTGTTAATCATCTGCATAACTGTACATTTTTATGGCAGGAGGGCATTGCTCATATGTGGTGGCAAAGGTTTTTGGCACTATATTGTTTATCTCATTGTACATGTACTGTCTTCTTCAATTCAGCCAAATCCAGTTGGAAGTTTCTTGGCTCTGTTGTAGTTCCTGTTAGGTTCTGTCCAATCCTTGCGCTCTGTACAGTTGATCACTGGTTTAAATGAAGCAGCAAAAGACTATCCATAAGCATTGAATCTTTTATTAATTAACATCTTGTTATAGACTCTGGCCTATTTCGTAGCTGTAGATGGTGAATATTCTGATTAGGGATTTCATTGGCTTATGCTATGCAAATATGTAATTGAGGCATGAAGCAGCCCTGTGTTTTGGTTCTGTAGTTGCAGGTCAGACCATTTAAGCTAACCAGTGATGTCTGTTGCCTTCTAGAATGTTAATGATCCAACTGAGCAGTAGAACAGAGATTGGACTATGATCTAGATATAATCCTTATACATTCTGCATTTCAAATTCTTACAAATACTGTTTACCACATACCAATGTCCCGTATGTGCAATTAGAAGAAGATTGCTGGAAGTTTTATGTACTTGGATTTTCAACCCTTGGAAGTTTTAAGTTCTAAATCTCTTAGGTTGAAGAAAATTTAATTGTTTAAAGTAATTTCACCAGCGGTCAAAAATGAAAAAACAAAGACGGCCATATTTACATTTTAATATACAAAGATATTACGTTGAGGTTATCGAACTGAAATTTTTGTGAACAGGATATGCCACCATTTGTAACACTCACTCACTCATTGCCCACTGTCGGCAACGTTTGTTACACCATTTGCTTGATTGTCAAATACTATACAATCCAATAGGCCTTGTCTGAAAATCAGTCAGATAAAATATAAACTTGGTTGGCATTTTTTACCTGATTATTCCATAATTAAATAAATAAAATAAAACAGCATTTAACCATATTTATCATAGACCAATAGAATAGCTTACTTCCACTAAACTCATGTTTAAAATAACCAATCTGAAAACATACATTTCTTTCTGATTAAACAAAATTGCAAAACTTTCATCTATCATGCAGAGCTCGTTAAAAAAAATAAGAAAAGTACCTGATAAATAAGAAAAAAAAAGCTATTAATTCATTTTCTTCCAGCAATTCTCAATAAAGGGGATATTATACCCTGTATCTCTTGCAATGACTGTTGTATCCTTATCTCTTCTTCCACCGAACGCTTCAAATTTCTAATATGACTCTTCAATATATCAGAAGCTTTAATATCTTCAGCCCGCATTTCAAGAACCTTCTTCATTAACCCCATCAACAACCCTGAGTATCTTGGAATTGTGGAGTGCTTCTGCAAGAAACTCAAAAGCAACCCAAGCTCTTCATTATCCAAATTTGAAACACATTTCAATAACTTCCTCCTAGCCACCAACTCCTCCATTACAGCCACGACATTTTCTGGATTCTTACCACTTAACACACACACCAACGCTTCCTTATGCCTAAACTTCTTCAACAACTTATCATGCTCTCCCAATTTCAACTTCTTTGGTCTCACAACCAAAAAATCACTTTCACTTGGCTTCTCAATCTGCCCTCTCTGAAAATACCTAAAATAAGTAGGCCTCAACAACCTCTTTTGAGGCTCCTCTACTCTCCCTAGACTCCAAAAATTCACTAATCCACTCTCCACATTTTCCCTCTTCTTCCTACCAGCAAATATGCTCCCATTTGATGTCCCGATAACTCTAGTCATACCATCAGGTGAAAAAGCAACAGACATAAGAGGAGCTGGAAACCTCATAGAATGAGTAACCTTCATATTAACATAATCAAATACCTTCATATACCCATCTAAAGCCACACTTAAAATCCTATACTGCATTGCCTCCTCTCCACTTTCATTCCCAAATCTCCCCAAACAAACGGAGGTAACAGTCTTATTATGACTTTCCATGGAATACAACAACTTCCCTCCTCCAATCAAATCCCAAATCTTCACACTGTTCCCACCCGCAGTCGCCGCCAATCCACCTGAAGGTAAAAACATTACATCCTCTATTGGTTTCCCATGATTGACTTCCATCACTGACTTCGAATTCTCAACTCTCACATCCCACAATTTTACAGTATGATCATAAGAACCCGTAACGAACATCTCAGCATTCACAGGAGAACAATCTCCGCATCTAACGTAATCCTTGTGTCCAAACAAATCCAAAACCACATTCTCACTAGAAACATCCCAGTACTTAACTATACCATCATCACCACCCGACACAACATGTAACTTATCAAGAAATGGGTACTGAACAAAATGTACCGGACGAGAATGAGACCTCAAGCGACGAAGTGGGGTCCGCGTTTTGACGTCAAATACTTGAATGAGTCCGGAGAGATCAGAGGCGGCAAGGAGGGCGCCATCGGAGCGAAACGAAGAGCAGGAAACGACGTCTTTGAAGGAGGAAATAACGGAGTGTTGAGAGAGGGTTTGGGAGGAGAAGAGAGTGAGAGAAGCAGAATGAGCGGCGGCAAAGAGGTGAGGTGGGATTTGAGAGAAAGAAATAGAATTAATGGAGGAGATGAGGTTCTGGATTTGTTGGGTTTTGAAGGAGGACCAGTATTTTGATTCCGGGGTTTGAGAAAGGGTTCTGGCTTTGGGTTTCAATTTAGGTTTTACTGGAAAGCTTTTGCCCAGAGTTGTTTTCGGTTGAAGCTCTTCTGCCATTGAATTTGGTTCTGGTTCTAGAGGAGGGGAGACTGGAGAGGGTATGATTAGTACTCACAACAAATGAGCTTTAGGTTAGGGTTTCTCAGAGGTTTTGTTAGAAGGCTATAATGTGGTAATGAAGGAGAATACGGTGTCGTTTAAATGGCGTCACTCAAGGGCGCACAAACTGTACTGAATTATATTTAAAATGAATTTTCTTTATTTTAAATATTAAACAAATACATGATGTCCACAATGATAATTTAATCGATTCATTAATATTTTCATGAAAAATTTGTCAAACTAAATGGTAAAAAATAAAAACTTTGAAAGGAAAAAAATTAATTTAGTTTGTGGGTATATTCATTAGTAATAATTTAAAAAATTCATATTTACATTAATAAAAGAATAATTATAATTGACAAATGTATTTGGCCAGCAATTAGAGCACTGAACTAAACTCACTTTTCATTCAGTCTAAAAATAAACATTTTTTCATGAAATTATATGTAATCTTCTATTAATGATAAGCTAATAATTTATCTTTTAAAGTTTTAATCACATCATATTTATTAACTCATAAAAGTGTATCCGAAAATTAAATTTATAAATCATTTATATAATGTTATATATAAACTTTAGTTTGCAACCTGAGGTTTTAGATTATGAAAAAATATATATATACCTATCATAAATTTTAAACATTTTTTATATAGGTTTTTGAAATTAAAATTAATGAACATATATATATTTGTAAAGATAGAAGCGACGTGGATGTAGCTGGAGAGGTGGAAGTAAAAGATTAGGCAAAGCCCAAAGGTCCACGAAAGCACGGTCGTCAGTGTCAAAAAGCAAGGCTATATTTTATTATTAAAAACGCTCAACACAACACCGTATTTCGCACCAACGTAGTCTTCCTTCAATCATGTATTTACATTTCTATAAATTCGATTTTAGACGTGTACATTAAACTCCCAAATAAAGAAAATAAAAATTAAAAGACCCGCGAAATTATTCCTCTTTTTTTTTTTTTTTTCATTTTCTTTTTGGCGCTTACATTTTTCTTTGGTAGCTCAGCGATACAGTTTCCAGGTCAGTTTTACCACTTTGATTTAACAGTCACATAAGCTTTTTATTTTTTATTTTTTATTTTTTATTTTCATTTTATTTTTTCAGTATATGATTAATGTGTTGTATCTGGAACGCTCTGTGATTTTAGGGTTTCAATGTCTAATTTACTCTGTTTTCATGAAATCTAGGGTTTTTATGTTGGAAGACATTAAAACCGTGCAACGATAATCCAAATTGATTTGTATACATATATACATGCAAATGTATTTGTACATTGATGGCTGTGTTAAATTCAATTCAATAAGAGAGTTATCAACTTATGAGTGGTGCTTGTAGGTCTATTTGCATCAGTTCATGTAATTGTTTGAAAATCATGCAGATGTATAGGGATGGTTGTGTTTGATTGTTAGAGCGTTTGTGTTAAGGAGTAAATTGAAAATTAAAAAGGCAAAAAACTGGAGGTGCTGTCTACTCTGGTGGTAACTGGTAAATCTATGTCAGCATCCTATTAGAGAACTCATTTTATTTTTATTTTATAACCGACTAATATTTACCAGTTTTTGAGCTAAAGAAGAAAAGGATATGATAAATCTTGAAAATGAAGAGAAGTTGATACTTCATTTTCCAAAAGGTCTTTAGTACATAATTAGTAAAACTTGGAATTGGATAGTGCCTCTCTGCATTTTTTTTTTTTTAAATAATGTCATCTCATTTCTTTATTTTTATTTTGAGTGGGTAGTGTCTCTCGTACAAGGTGTATTTTATTTGATTCTGTTGGCTGTTACTTGTTTCAGTTGTCTCCTCTCACCTTCTTGCTCCAAAAGAGCTTTACTTTATTCAATTATTGCCAGCATTCAGTCTCTTAGCTTTCTTGAAGGTTTTTATTGGTAGTTATTTGTTCTCATGAACTCTTGTGCAGTTGTGTTGTTTTGCAATGCTATCTCAGTAGCACTATATATTCCTGCATAAACATTTTCCTTTTTGTTCTAGATCCTCAAAAATGAAAAATGATAAGGAAGAGCCATCATCTAGTGCTGAACAAGTAAGAACTTTCAACTCTAATAAAGCTGTATGTGGAAATTATTTACTTCTAATCTCTGTTTGCGAATTTGATTTAAAGGATTTCTTTTCTCTTTTATGGGTGGTGTAAGTAACTTGATTAAATTTATGTTTATATAAATAGAAACAGGCGATTGACTTGATTTCAGCAGTGAAGGAGTTGCATGGGTTTAGCTCTCAGGAGCTTAATAAATTACTAAAAGACACTGAAAATTTTATCATTCAATGCCATACTGAGAAAGGATCACCAATAAAGGTACATGGGCAGCATTACCGTCATTATCATTGTGACACTATCTTATTTTTCTAAGTTATACATTTCTCTGCTATTAAGACATTTTATATTAATTTGTGTTGTGTTTCAGATTGATATGGAAAAAGTTGCTAGCTTTCTTCCCTTGCACCTTATTGCAGTGCTCATATCATCTGATAGAGATGAAGAGCTATTCAGATATATATTACGTGGTATTCGGCTTATGTATTCCTTGTGTGATCTTGCGCCTCGGCACGTTAAACTTGAGCAGGTTACTTATAGTACTCCTTGCTAAAAGTTCTGTTTTATTCAGTATCTATTACATATTTTTTTCTTCAGTTTTTTAGGCATGATAACAAAGCTTAGCTCACCCGAGAATTTTAACTTATATCTGGAATTAAAGATTTGGGGTCTTAAAACCAAACACAGGGTTTTTATTTGGATTCTTATTGAAATCGGAAATGTAAGACACTAGAAGCCATCTTATGGTTTGGGGGTAGGAGTGGCAAAGTCTGCATGCTTGTATTTAAGCCTATTGCTTTCCAAAATGATTCAGAAGTCTTACCAGCTTCTCTCAACTAGAAACCCCCTCCTCCATTTTTGGGGAACACCATTTTGGTTACCTGACCCATTTGCATGGAGGAGGAACCATTGCTGTTTGAACTTTGAACTGAACAAAAGGTTTTTCTTGCTTTGGTTCCTGGCCATTGTTATTGTGGTTTACCACAGATTATTATTTTGAACCAATTTTTTGACTCACACAGGGCCACTCATGCAAGCCTATGCCCTATATTGGATGTTTGGTGGGGATTTTTTCTACTATTCTATTTCCTATGCACTTTTATACATGTATGTATGCTCTGATAAGGGGTGACAGGCTTGGGTTGCTTTACATAGTTTTTGTCAGTTGATTGAATTTATCCTTATTCCATCACCAGTCTTGCTTGCTCATGGGCATCTTTATGAATTTGGATGTTTCTCTCTCTCTCTCTCTCTCTCTCTCTCTCTCCAATAGGTTGAATGCTATTTAGGATTAAGAAAATTTTGGGAATTTTATATACTGCACTTGTCTACTAATACTTCAGTTTCTTGATAATGTTTACAGATTTTGCTTGATGATGTAAAAGTTTCTGAGCAGCTACTTGACTTGGTGTTTTATATGCTGATTGTTCTTGGTCGTTGTAGTCAGGTTCTTTTTTTATTCACTTTTTGTTTAATCTTCCACGCTATTTTTTTTGGGTAAAAAAAAAAAAAAATACATAAAAACAATAAATTCACCATTGTTGGGGATCGAACCCAGGTCGCCCGTATGACAGTTGGGAATACTCACCACTATACTGCAACAACTTGTTAATGATCTTCCATGCTATTTGTCTGTACTAAGATTGGTTTTCCTTGTTCCAAATGTAGGAGTACCACAATTCAAACACCATTCTCCTCATGCAATCAACATTGGTTGCATGCAGTCTATGTTTACTAACAGGATGTCTATCTTCACAATGGCAAGATCTTGTTCAAGTATTACTTGCACATCCTAAGGTACAGTAAGAGAATCAAGGTCTGGCTAATTGCATGTTATGTATTTTTTTACTAGATCTATGAGTTAAACTCTTTTTTCTTGACAATTTATGCTCTACAATCATTCAAAAGTTTTGAGTTCCTCCTGCCAAGCCATAAACGTACTTATGTGATTATGAATTTTATGTTGCAGGTTGACATATTTATGGATGCAGCTTTTGGAGCAGTTCATGTGATTGTCATGTTTCTCCAGATGAAGCTGTCTGATCAACTTACTGATGAACAAGTGGTTAACTATATCTGCCAGCAATGCGAGGCTTCTTTACAGTTTCTTCAGTCATTGTGCCAACAGAAAAATTTTAGGGAGCGGCTACTCAGGAATAAGGTTTTTGAATTAGAATTCTTCTCATATAGATGTTTGAGAATACATATGAATATAGTGGATTGATATCTTGACCTAAAATTTCAGCTATTTGATCCAATGGTTAAATTCAAATTCAAAAAGTCACATTTAATGTTACCGACTGATCAAGTCTTGGCACCAATAATGATATCACTGAATGATTGAAAATTGAAAGTCAAAATGTTAATTTGAAAATTCCTGCCCTATATATGTTTGAAACAATATGAGATACCAAGTTTATAATTTTAGTGTCCAAGAAAGGTAGATATTCTCCAATTCTCAGTATTTTGATTGTCCAGAAAAATCTTGCTTATATTTGTTGCAAACTAGCAATTATGGCTAACGTGTAACGTCATCATTAGTTGTTATCTTGCGGATATGTGCATGGAAGATCTCTTTGGTCCATTCTCTTGATTTTGCTGATTGCCTGTGCTGGGATATATCATCAGATATTCTTACAAAGATAGGTTACTTTATTTAACAAAATCTCTGATTGTGGTGCCATCTTCAGGAATTATGCAGCCAGGGTGGTGTTCTTTTTCTCGCACAATCCATCTTGAAATTAAACATCTTGCCACCTTTTGTAGAGTCTTCTACAGTTGTGGCTTCTGTTTCCAGGCTGAAAGCTAAAGTCCTATCTATTGTAAGTCCTGGTACTGAAAATAATCATGTGTACTTTAGGGCTTTAGCTGCTTTTTAAAGGGCATCAGCTATGTTCTGTATCGTACGCCATTGTCTGTTCATCCATCATGACTACCTTTATGCAGCTGTTGCACTTATGTGAAGCAG